CTCTAATCTTATTTATCTGTAATTATATTTGTCTGCAATATAACTTCTTTGAAACCATATGTTTAATTACCATTTCTGTATTTTGCCTTTTTGATGCTGATTTATGAAATAAATAAATAAAAAAAAACCCTCCCTCCTGCCCTGGGGCCTTGACGTTGGCGAGGGGGCTTCTCACTAATCTGGGACACAAACAAAAATCTACAACACTTTCACACATATACACACATATATTTATTTCAAATATGTATGCAAACAATCTCTAATTCAATAAATAAAAATCAGTCATATTACTTATTTATATTACTTCATCTTTATTCTAAAAAGAAATAAAAATAAGAAAAAATTATGGCGTCGAACTGCCCCCGCGTCGAAACGTACGGCGGCGAAACGTTGGCGTCGAACCGTCGGCGTCGAAACGACCTGCTTCAGCCCATTCACCTATACTTGACCCTCGGACCGAACTACTAGTGCTCAGCGGCTTTTGTTGCTCAGCTACTAATGGAACCATTGCATACAAAATATGGGCCTATTGCCAAAAGGAAGTATTCTGAAACGATTATACAGAATATGGGCTATTACTGAGAGTATTCGTGCTTCCTGTCTTGTTTTTCATACTTCCTGTGTCATAAGTAATTTTAAGTTCCTACCTGTCTTAACGTTACTAAAATATCACGGAAATAGTAACGAAAATTAAAATTTTACACTGCAAGCCTTTTGTTCTGCAAATAAGTGCATGGAATCGTCATAATTTGATCTGCGGTTTGATTTTCTGTTGCCAGAATCGCGAGACTTGATAAACGCTCTTGCTCACCGATGATCGTAGATATTTTTTAATATGTTTTAATTTGCTGATGAAACTTTCGATCTGAAACAGGTTGAAGTGTTCGTGATTCGTCCTCAAACAGTTCATCAGATTGCTTTTTGTGCTTTTGAATTCTTTATTTGTCAGAATAGACTCAACTGCGATTTTTTCGGCTACTGTTTTAGACTCTTGTATCCGATATTCCATACGAATTTTCTGTCATTTTTTTATAATTCCTCAGTTTTGGTCAGTTCTTTCGTTAACTAAACAGGACGCAGAAGAGGAAGAGGAATTTGAATTTTTGAATTTCTATATTACTCGATTGAATTCTAGAAAAAATATTTGCTCAAATAGTCAGGTTGAGTAAATTAGTAAATTCAAATTTTTCACAGCATGTAACAGATGTCCTACCTCATGCTTTGATTCTGTCTCAAGAGAAATATCTTTAATTTTTTTAAATATTTGAATATTTCCGGTAAATTCATTAGATGGACTTTCACAGCCATATATTTTTCCGATAGTTTCAGAATACTTCCTTTCGTCTGGCTGCTTCCTTTTAAGTTGCATTTTATATATTTTTTAATAATATACTGTCGAGTAGTGCATTCGACAAAAAAACGAAGTATTTTCTGAGTAATTCCAAACAGATTAACTGCTTCCGGCAACGAAGAAGCAGAATGCATACTGACAAAATACGAGGAGTGAGCCAAACATGGCACAAATTCATCCAGCTTATTCATTTCTGTAAATCTAGCTTGTACTGTTTTAGAAATGCCAGCCATATTAGACCCGTTGTCGTAAGACTGACTTCGACGTTGTCCAATATCTAAACCATCAAGTGTCAATTATGACACTAATTTTCTACAATGCGTTCAAAAATACATTCTCCTATCTTTCCACCAACTTCTATGAAATCAATTAAATTTTCCTTTATCTCACACAATCACCACACTTTTTATGTATTGAGTCACATGGTTCATTTTTTTCTGTATGAGATGCATATGGGGTAAATATGATTCTTTTCCCTTTGTTAGGTGCTTGCACTTAAGAGTTGAATTATGTTTGGCAAGCGGAGAGATTAAATTCAGAAAATTTTCTTTGCTACGTCGAGGACACTTTGTGAACAGACTACTTGGGATTTCATCAGACCCAAAAAAAGAACGACAGAATCTTGAAAGATATAATACCGCATCCATGACTATATAGAATTTTTCTCCATTTTTCTTTCTATGTATGAATGAGTCGCTCAGTGTCGTGATCGATGCCTTGGCACGATTTCATTTGTTGTACTCGAATTTTCCACTTAATCATCCACCTCTGTGGATTCCAGACGCTTCGTGCTCAGTTAATCTTGCTAAAACTTTTTTCCAATTAATGAATCCTGTTGTATGGTGTAACGGCAGCACCATGTTTCTGATAAATATTGCAGGGTGCACAAAAAATTGCATTCTTGTTTTTAGAATATGTAAACCAAGATCTAAGCTTTTTATTATTTACTAATGTTCCGTATAACATGTCAAATGTCTGCCATCACATTTCAATGGGATTGAGGTTTACGTTTTCCCGGATGTTCACCGGCTAATAATACTGATTGACTGCTTAAGAAAGATTGTTTGTGACCGTTAATTTTTTTTTTTTTTTTTTCCTTTTAATGACCAGCCAATTGCATGCGTCCAACAAATCAAAATTTTTTAGTTTTTCGTCTTTCTGCTGCCCGCTCCCATCTAAATGAAGAGATCTTTATATTATCTTTATATTATCTCCCATCTAAATGAAGAGATTCTTTATATCATGGTTTCACGTCCTCTAGCTATTCGTTTGATGTCGATGAAGAAGTTTATTCTTTCAAATGCTGACTTGTAGATTGCTTGGGGATGATATATGCAGTCATGTTTGGGCATGCAAATTGCAAGAAATATTAATTCCCTCTAGAATCTCAGCACAATCGGAATTGCGGCAGGATCTGACGGTTTATTTACTTTTTCCGTGAAGTTATTTTTTCATCTTAGTTGAAATTTGTTTCCTCTGTTTGGCCTTATCTTTGGCTCGTTTTCTGTCTATACTCCTGCTTTTCTCCCCCTCAGACGCGCAGCATGATGTTCTTTTAATCTAAATGAAATTCACCTATGAATTGCCTTTAATAAGAATAACTAAGAATTGACATAATTACACTGAACAGTTCTAAATAAATAATGGTGCGTCTGTGATAAATAGAGCTGCAGAATATTAGAAGCATATCATATATATAAAAAAAAAAGAAAGAAAGAGAGAGCACAGAAGAGACCTGAAAACTAAAAAAAAACACATAGAAATAATAAATCTAACACATAGAAATAAAAATCCAACATGCGCTCCACCGTTCCGAGTCAAACCAAAGGTTAGCCTAAGTTGCCAACTGGCTGCAAAAAAAATCTAAATGCCTTGCTTCAGCTTGAAGACATAATATCTGTGTCTTGTATATACTCGATGAATATTAATTTGAATTATTTCATTTGTCCAGGATGGCCTAAAGTTAATTTTTTGGGTTAGCTCTTAAAAAATAGTTACAGTGCTTCTCCATTTCGCGGCAGACGTTGCTATGGGAACCAGGTGACTTCTTCTATCTGTCGTTCTATTTGTTATTTGAATAACCCCGGCCTAGACAGCAAAATGATACAGGGACTCCAGATGTTACTGATAGGGTCAGTCTGATTCTAACAGTGATGCCTGGAGTCCCTCCATTGGCCTCTTCCTGATCTAGTATTTCTAGTTGTAATCGGCTGTACTTTATTTTAACTCATGTTTCTTTAAAAGGGTTCTTAGTATTTAATTACAAATCTTCTTAAAAGAGGTTTTTAAAACTTGGCCTTAAAACTATTAACATTGTACTAAAGTTAGAGAGCTGTTTTAGCGAACAACATACCAAAACAATCCAGCGTTATATTTGAATTTGCCGCCCTCAAAAGTTGCCACCCGGGGCAAGAACCCCGGCTTGCCCCCCCCGCTAGATCCGGGGCTGTGTATACGAGCCAGTTTCCCTTAAAGAGTCTTCCACGAAAGCATCCCTCCCCTTAGGCAGATAGCCCTAGTGTGCTTTGCCATAATTAAATACACACACCAGAACAGCAGCAGCGAAATACCGTTAATGGCCTTGTATGGATGCTAGATGATGCTTCTACACACGTCATCAGATGTGTTCGGCAAGTCCTGAAACAGTACTTTGGAGTCATCTCCCATAACTTTTCAATTTCATGGCTACAGCAATACCCCGACTTTGCTCCGATAGAAGGTTCTAGAATTATTTGGATTCTAAGGTATACATATCAAATCCACGAGATTTTTCAGAACTGATAGATGCCATAAAACGTGAAGTTATACAGATTCCTCTTGCGATGTTACTTTCGTTAATGCTGTCAACAATCTCCCGCATGCAATGCATTATTGCTTCCGAAAACTTGTAATTTCTAATGAAAGTTTTTTTTTCCCTCCTTTCCTTTCTTGTGTTGTTATTGGTCTTTTACAAAGATTTTCTTCGAAAATGTTTTACGCCGGTAATGTTCATCCTACGTGTATCTTTCCGACGCCATTTATGGCTTTTCAATGCACCAATTTGCGCAGGAAAAAAGGAAGTTTCCTTTTGAAAATTTCGAAATGTTTTCATTGTAAATATAATAAAATCATTGTATGCATCAGTATAAAATAAATGTATTATATTAATGTATTTTCGATGTCTAAATCTATGTCTATATAAAATGCACCGGGTCAATTTATGTTTGTAAATTACTTAATTGTAAATTTGTAATTTAATAGAAGGGTATCAGGAAAAATAAATAAAAATGAATAAATAAAGTGTAAATCGATAAAAATTTAATAAGCTAGGTTTATAACAAATAGTAAAATAACAAGTGAAAAATAAAAGTGAGCTTTATCTAGGGTTCTTGCTAGAATAATAATTTCATTCAAAACCTCAGAAGTGCCCAAACCAAGCTCCTGTTCCTGTGGTGTTCCGTTGAACCTAAATCTTAACTGCATAGTTAATTAATTCTCTATAGTTACTTTTGTTAGTTTAAACTCACTTGTAATTAATTTGATAGATTTTATTGAGAATTCGTTAACAACTTTATGAAGAGAAATATTTAAATCTTGTTAAAAACATGTAGCTCCTTATTATGAATAAAATTGCAAAATAATGGTGTTAAAAATAATCTTTTATTTTCAGATTATGTCTGTGACAGAAACCATGGACAGACATATAAAGGCATTAGAAAGCAGTAGTTGTGCTCTTAGCTGTGCAACAAATTTAATCTTGTTACTTGTGAAGTTATCCGTTGATATGAGTAAAGATGAATGGGCCTTTTTATGTGCTTGTTTCTCACCATCAGTTGACTCCGATTCCATCCAAGTAAGAAATTCCCAGTAAATATGTGATTGTTTAAAACTTTTATGCTTGACATGGAACTTAAGACATAACTATTTTCAGATTTCTTCAAAACTGTAGTGAAAGGAAAAAAGTGTAATTCATAATTATAATTAATGAAAAATGAAATAATATTCATCCTTCTGTTCAAATACAAGCCATCCCTTAAGGACAGAACCCATTTGAAATATTGCTAACTGGGACAAGCACAAGCACATTCTGTTGCATTCATATTTGGTCAGTACAAGCTGCTGTGACTCAGGAATAAAGGTGGCAGTTGGTATATGGTTGAAGTGTTTAGTAGTAATTGTAATGTCTGCATCCTGCTCATCTGAAAACGAAAAATAAATAAATAAATAAATAAAATAAAGACCACTCACTGATATATAAATCACTGTTCCCCATAAATGTACCCTTGATATAGGATTCCTAACTCTCCTTTTTGGGAAGGGAAGTCTTTTCTTCATCAGCTTTCTTAATTATTTTTGAGTTTAGAAAAAATAAAAAGCTGAATGGCTTTTATTTCAAAATTAAAAATTTCTTGCAGCTAAATGGTGACATTAGGTGTTGCAATTTCAGCAGTTGGCCACACCGAGAGGCCAAATATTTGCTGCCAACCAGAGAGTTAGCTGCGATCTCTGCTCGGTGACATACTTATTTTGGCGTAGCAGGCAAGGAGGTTAGAACAGAAGGAAGGAGGGTTCGCAGTTTCCCCCACTATCGGGGAATGAAACACCACTGAACAAGCGGCGTCCACGTTTGTAACTTCAAAACATTGCAATACGGCAGTGAAACGTACGTGTTTCTAAGATGTTCCGTGCATGTATTTTCCAATAAAAATGTATTAAATTTATAATGAAATGCTTCGTATGCTTCGTTATTGCTAGTTTTTTTTTACTTTAAAGTTATAAAGATGATATCCGTAATTTACTATGTACAGAAAATTATTAAGAAACAGTTTCAAATCTAAATGCATCTGCATGCCTTTAAAAATGATGTTTCTGCATATTTCAAGAATTTGTTTAGGTTTTATTAGCAACCTGTTGGGTGTACTTTCCAATTTTTTTTCTTTAAGAAGTGATATTTCTGATATATTCACAATATTATCATAATTATTAAAAATCATTTTAACCTGAAATTAATAGCAGATAATTATCTAAAAAAATAATCACAGGCTGCATTTTTTTTTTAATGAAAGTTTTAAATAGATTCTCTTCACAACCAACAACCTTATAACAACAAGAAAATAGATATTAATAAAATAAAACAGATTTATGTGAATTCAATGATTTCAGTTTATGCGCATTTCATATTTATGGATCTCAAATAAATTGCCCTGAATTGAGCTGAATTACAGAAATATACCTCTATAATAATATACCTATATAAATTTTTGGATACATCTTTCTACATGTTCAATTGTTTAAATACTTTACTTACTGTTATCGCTACACTGCCCAGAAATTTGTAAGTTTATGCAACAAAATTTTAGCAACAGAACACTTTGTCTTGATCAAATGCACAAATTATATTCGTAACAGTTCACAAAACTTAAAAAGGAAAAATAATTAATACATAAAGAAAAACATTGCTTTATTTAACACCTTTACAATTCATAAAAATAGTAACAATTGATTTCTTACTTTTCATGAAAATTATAAAACAAATTACCTAAAACGTTCAAATTATACAGTTTAAATCCTAGTATATATCATTGTATGTTAAGGAATGAAGATACCAGCTATAAACAGAAACATTAAAATGTGTTTAACATATTTTGATTATTATTAAGTCGTTTTTTCACATCTGGAAAGAAAATAACATGACACTGTGATATTTTTAACATATTTATCAAATTACATAAAAAAAAAGAAAATCAATACTTACGAGTGAAACGTAATCCCAGAAAACGTTTTCGAAAATCTATTTGTGCATCCATATGCAACACAAGCTGACATGCTTCAAAAAGAAAAGAGAAAAAAAAATGTTACAATTATAGACTTCCTTGCACAAGTCACAGCGATAATAGCAACATGGCCGCCAAGCTTCTCCCTTTGAGTTGAACCTTCCCTCCTTCTACTCTAACCTCCTTGGTACCAGGCTGAGGCCTTGACTCTGTCATTTCGGTGGTGGTGCCCTTGGTCAGCCTAGTTACCCAATGAAAGGTTGCCACATTTTTCATTAGTTTCGTTTACTCTGCTGCCTGACATCATGATCCTCGAAAGCTAGAGAGCACTTATTGGCTAAAGGGCAAACCTGCCCTATTGTACAAAGCAAACTTTGGTTCCGCATCTCTTAATCTTCCGTTTTGATTTTCTTCTCTGACATTGCCTCTGCTTGAATAGCACAGATTTTAAATCAAACGTCCTTAGGAAATTCCCTTACCTGCTCGGCAGTTTTCATAACGTGCGTTCTTGCTATGATATATTTCCAATACATAATATTTGTGATTCATTTGGGGCAAAGAGAGCTTCGCTCCCGTTACTTCATTTAACATATAGTTATTTATCATGTAGGCCATTTAACGTATAGTCAAGCCAATATAAATTAACTTGCAATTGACAGATATCTAATCAACTTTAATTTCTTTCGGGAAATCAACCTGCTGGTAAATTCTTATCTACCTCAAGTTAGTTCACAGCAAATTGCAGCAATTTTTACTCATCCTACTGACAAATTTTTGCCGGGATTCTGCAAGTTTTGTGCCTTTGCCCCGTGCTTTACCTTGTAGAGCCATTTGAATTTTAGATGAAACAGGAGACGTGAAAATGTGCAGTGCCCTATTCTTTACCTTGTATTTCGTCGGGACGCGAACCTGGACCTCTCGAATACGTTACACCGGAAAGGAGGGAGAAAATACCTTATAACGTCTTTTACTTCACCGACTTCCAGGGAGGAAAATTTTACTGTAACTCGATGCTGGCTTGCTACACGGGTAATACTGCTGTAGCAATCAAATCTATTTAATCAAAACATGCTATTAGCACACTTCAGGATGTTGTGCTATGTACCGAAGAATGGTCTTCACATTAGAGAAATTACATCAAGTCTTCAAAATTAAGGACGAAGTCGAAAAATTAGCATATCAGCTGAACGAAGAAGCAGAGCGGACAGAAAGACCAATCAGGAGATTAAGTAAGGTGATGAACGGTAGCACATGCGCAGATATGCAGGTAGACGTAATGGGGGAGTGTCTGAGTAGTATAAAGCATGTTGTCGGTGTAAGATCAGTATTTCTGGCAAAGAGATTGCACGCCGTATAGCAGTTAAAATCACACCGAGTTGCTGCCTCAGCGAGAAATGGCGAATAATCAATCTGTTAGACGACATCTGGATGCTTTTACGAGGTCGAATCATTGGGAAGTTGGAGGAAGGCCGCAGTGTGACAAGTGTGGCTGCAGAGTTCGGAATTGCTCACAGCATCATTTCACGACTTTGGAGACAATTTCAAACTACAGGAACAGCTATCCGGAGGTTCTGTAGTGGTCGTCCACAAGGAACCACACCTGCAGATGACCGGTATATTGCCTTACAGGCCAGAAGAAACAGGCAACAGACAGCGGGAGAAATCGCTAGACACACGACACAGGCGACTGGACGACCGATATCGCGTTTTGCCGTGGCCAGAAGACTGCACGGTGGTGGTCTGTTTGCACGACACCCTGTACGGTGTGTACCTCTAACGCCTGCCCATCGGAGAAGGCATTCTCTGTGGTGTCGGGAACACCGGAATTGGAGAGACAATGAATGGGGACGAGTACTCTTTACAGATGAGAGCAGATTCAGTCTGAGTAGCGATTCTCATCGCATACTCATCTGGAGAGAGCGGGGAAGCCGCAATCATCCCTCGAACATCATTGAAAGGGACAGGTATGGAGGTGGCGGTGTTCTCGTTTGGGGAGGCATCATGCTTGATAGTCGTACAGACCTTCACATCTTCGACGCAGATTCAGTCAACGGGACCTGTTATTGTAACAAGATTCTTCTTCCATATGTGCATCTTTTTAGAGGCGCTATGGGTCCGCAGTTCCTTTTCATGGACGACAATGCACCATGTCATCGCACAGTAGCTGCCGAACAGCTCTTAGAGAGTGAGGATATTGAACGTATGGATTGGCCGGCACGATCTCTGGATCTCAATCCCATCGAGCATGTATGGGATTTTCTAGGCAGACGCTTGGCAGCTCGTACTTTACCACCAGTAACGATTCCGGAGCTTCGATTGGCGCTGCAAGACAAATAGGCAGCAATGCCTCAACAACTCATTGACACCCTCATTCTCAGCATGGGCAGACGCTGTGAAACCTGCCTAGCAGTCAGGGAAGATCATATCCCCCTATTAAAGCCCGGATGTTTCTTGCTGGACACCCATCACAGGAATGTTTCGGCCTTCAGTCGCATTGCGCTCCATGCTACTTTTTCAATAAAGCTTCTTTTTATTCCTCTGATTTCTCTTTTAGTAAGTTTTGCTTACATTACTCATGTCCTTACGTATTGGGGATTTTACGGTATTAAATGTGTTGATTTGGAAAGCTTTTGTACAAAGTTATATTGAAAAAACCGTCTCGCCCTTAATTTTTGCACACCAGTGTATGTTCGAAATAAGCTATTGCACAGAGACCTTAAACTGACTATATGAGTAGTCATCTCCTGAGGCGCAATGAGAAATTCTTTACTAAGGGCAGCTTCAAAAGTAATTTCTCCTTAAGAACCGCATGCGCAGAAGTGTGCGTATGGGTTTCTCCAATCAGCGAACGAATTCACTTTGATTGACATTTGCAATCCGGTCGATGTGCGGTGACGGATGAAGTTCAACTATGTTCAACTTCTATCCGTATGTCTGCGGATGAGTTGGGGTTACGTGGTAAAAAAGGAGCAATCAGGTGTTGTCACCAAAAATTAATAATGGCAGAAGTAGCGATGAACGCTGGCTTAGGAAAAGGATGTTTTGCTAAAATATAATTATTTCTGAACTAATATTATAGCGAGAAATCTGCGTACTGAAAAAGACCGCAATCAGCTGAATTTAGTTTAAAAAAGATAAGAAAAATAATTTAACCTCAACTACAGTTCGCAGAGAAAATCAGGCATTCAACAAATTCAGTTCAAGAAAACATGGTGCAAAAAATATAATTCCGAGTCCATGAAATAGCAAAATTTGTCCTGACAATTATTTCTTAGTTCTGCATGCACATTTACCTTTAATGAAAATGAACGTCTGACTATATCAAACTATTATAGCAAATCAGATAGGGCATTAAAAGATTTGTTACTTTTTTTTCTTTTGAAACAAGCAAAAACTAAAAACGTTAGTTATAAATTAAATTTGATAATCTTTTAAATATTCCACTGCATTAAAGAATGTGTTAAATTTATATTTCTCTATTTATAAATATACCTTTTTGGATAACATATATTTGTAAGCACATGGAATATATTTTTAGCAGCGTGTTTAACTTCAATCGGAACGCCTCTTTAAAAGATAATGTTGTTTGTAAGAAAGGTATTAGAAGCTGAACAACAAACTGATTTTTTAGGTGATAGCACGCTGAAATAGGACCAAAAATTTTAGTTTTAAGAATCCATTTATTGAGTAATCTATATAAGCCAAAATTGCGTACCATGCCTGTATGACGATAGCTTAGTGGTAAAGTTGACGGTAACATGGTTTAGCTTTTGGGATCGTGAGTTCGAATCCTATACGCGTTTTCCACACCCTGTCTGCAACTTTTTTAGCTTCATGTTCCAGTTTGATCTATATTTGTGTTTTATAATTTATTTATATATTATATGCATTAAATATAATGTTTTATTTATGCACTTATTTATTTAAATTTTCTCCGCAAAAAATTTATTTTGAAAATTATATAATATATACGAATTTAAAAACATGCTCCCTGTTATATGCTATATATATATATATATATGGACAGGGAGCATGCTTTAAATTCGTATATATTATATAATTTTCAAAATAAATTTTTTGAGGAGAAAATTTAAATAAATAAGTGCATAAATAAAACATTATATTTAATGCATATAATATATATATATATATAATATATATATATATATATATATATATTCGTTTCACTTTTATGTGAATGTACGTACATGTGCTGATACTTTGGGATGTTTCCAGCTTTCACTACCAACTTTCACTACCAATTAACATGAGACAGTATTAATGCCCTAAACATTTTTTAAAAACTTACTATAATAATTGCTTTTAAACTCAGTTCTCTCTAGCAGAAAGCGCAGGAATTAATTAATTAAATATTCAATTTTCTTTACCTAATGTGTATATATATATATATAAAGAGAAAAAGCTTATTTTTATAACGTCTTCTATAACAAGAGATATAAATTAAAAATGTTTAAATTAAAAATAATATTTTATGGATTTTGTACAAAATATAACTGCGCATAGTGCATTTTAAAGCAAACGAGATTTCTAATAAATTATCCAGCTATGATGGACTCTAAAATTTTATATATTATCTGCTTTCTTCCCAAATTTGGGCATATTTCAAAAATATACAATCTCACATGGCAGTCAGCGGTATTTACAAGCATAGCAAATTTTGTGTAAATATTGTGAACCTTTCTTTACAGTTGCTCTGTATTTTTGAAGTACCAACTAATTTTTAATTCGTTTAATCTTTTTATTTTATTTATTTATTTATTTTTATTCCATAACAGTATATTTTAGTTTTAATAATATATATATTATTTCATTAATATTTAAAGCTTCTAGAAACGCGAAGAACTTTTTAAAATTTACTTCAGCTTCTATGCAATTAGTGATGTCCATAATATGCATTATAACCTAACTTATCTAAAAATTGCTAGCGTACTTTACTTTCGCAGTTCGTAATCAGAAATAAAAATTCACGCTACAATGACGCTACGCATGTGGATCGCACTAATGGAAACAGGCCTTTAATTATTCTAGCTAGTCGCACGTACTGTGCGCTTTGCGTCAGAATGATGGTGTTAATATTGTTGCATGCTTACGGGTTCGTAATGGATTGAATGCGCACAAAATTGACGCTAGCTGGATAAAAATTATTTTACCAAAAGAAACATTTTTCAGTTCTGAAATTTTCCTCACAACTACTCATACAGCTGTTTTCAGTAGCACAGTTACACTTCAAACTATTGAAAACGCTAAACACAGCAAAGTGCAATCTAAAAGGAGAACGGAGATTTATCAATACTCCGAACTTGACACTGAATTAAACAGCTGAGAACTGATGCTTTCTCCGGTCTTACAGTATAGTTTTTCCCTGCACACCGAAAAATCTCTAATACCTTTCATCTCCCGAAGTTACTGGAAGGCATATACGGTTAAAGTTACGTATAAGAGACGTTACAGTTACATATAGGGATCAATTATAGTCATTCAGTTACAGTACTAACTACAGTTATACAGGAACCGAACCCAAATGTCTCCAAGTTTGGCGACGTTTGAATATTTCTCGCGAAATTTGGCAACAAAAATTGGTTGTTAAAACCATCGTTCCGCTTGGCGATATTTCGCCAATTTAGTGACATAGCATTTACCTCAATGTTTTAAATAGACTTTCTCCTGTAATATTATTTTTGTGGCAGAGCTTCGAAGCTCTTTTCAGACTTTTCATGTTATGTTGCACAGAAGTTACTACAATTGCACATATATAATTTCACTAAAATTATTTACATATATACAAAATTCGTAAGAATGTATATCTAAGGGCTGTTGTTAAATTAACATATATATCTAAAATAACTGTACTGCCGTGTAACTTGTGGAAGTTACACATATTGATCAAATTATGCCCATGTTTCTAAAAATGCAGACAGAAAATTTAAAATTTTGTGTAATAAACAAATCAAATGGTTTGCAAATGTAAACTTCAATTATAAATGTGTGTTAATTATTTTTATTAGTGTAACAATTAACTCATATTGACAGTGATATAGTTTTATATGTTAATTACATATATATTTAACAGAAGTTTAACATGCATTAATTATTAAAGCGCTTTAAAAAGATTGCATTACTAAAGATTGACAATAATTTACTAAACATAACTGTACAGACCAGGGAACCCTATAAAAAGTTACATTTCATAATTTTTTTCAAAACTGATACTTAAAAATTAAAAATCCCAAAACATGAGTTTTTCCTTATTTAACATTTTTTGTAATTGGAAGTACTTTATGTCTACAAAAAGGATTGTGAAAGTAAAGCACTAATTGGGATTCTTATGGATTCACTGTTAAAGAAATATCATGTGATTCATTAACAATGTGAATTCATATTATACTTAAAGAATATAGAATTATGCATGAATGGAATTTCTCTAAGCTTTATGGTCATTAAACTATAAACTATACTTGCCATTAAATTAATCTCTTGTAGTATATAATATTTTTATTTTTATTTTTTAGGGTTGGGAAGAAAAAGTGAATGTTTCATTGATATACTTATTAAAACACTGCTTAGGAACGGGCAGTCATGAAACTAAATTCCCAGATGCCCAACTAGATCCTATTAAAGATATATCGAAATTAAAAAAGCATATAAATCTTGTTTTGGATAAAATTTCTAAAAGTAATCTTCTCTCTTTAAGCAATTATCCTGGTAAGTATGAAGTGGAATTTTTGATAAATTAAAATTAATTTCAAACTGTATTAGTGTTGTGAAATTAAGATGCATAAAATGATTTGCCTGGATTTTCTTCTATTCTGCGTTTAGGTAAACTTTGCATTTATTCATCGAATTTAGTTGCAAAATTATAATTCCTTTTTTATTTCCTATTATATTTCCTCCTGGTTGGAGAAAAATAGTAACTACATGATAGAAAAAGATTTTCTGTGTAGTTTATTATCATATCCTTAGAGTATCCACATTTTCATTTGTTAAATAAATACACATAGTCTTTCATTGCTGAATGTAAATACCTAAGTATTAACAAATTCTTTTCTACTGATAATAAACTACTCTAAATTATCAATTTATCATCCATTCTATGGTTTCTATATCAAGGAATTTAAAAAACTCAGAAGGTCCCCTAATCATCTGTTCACAATACATAACTACTATTTATCCTCAGAATGCATCATTTAAAAAATAAATTGCATTCTAGCAGTAATTTAAATACATTAAGTAAAATACACAAATTAACTTAAATACACTTCTGGCTATTAAACTTGCAACACCAGTGAGGGAAAAAAGATAAAAGTAAATTTATTTCATGGATTCTTTTTAGTATAAATATGAAGTCGCTGCAATTTCATTTACATTGGATAAGAAGAATGTCTTATGATCAATACCGAATTCGGCTGCAAAGAAGCAATAATAACCACTGCTATATGTTGAGGTATAGAGTCTTTGGATTGCGTTTTGCGCTTCAGAAAGCTGTAATTCGTTGCCAGAGTTCATCTGTTGTAGTTCCTGGTAGTCTTTGTCATAGAGTGTGTGTGACGTTTTAAACCAGTCGTGCTTAGTCAGGGAAAGATTCCGTAAGCGCATCCTCCAAAAATCTGTAATCTGCTGTGTGTCAAGCAAGTGTTAGATGTTGAGTGGAGATGTACACATTGTCTTTTTGGCAGATGGCTCTAAAGTGCTCTTGTATATATGGGAGAATCATTGGCTCTATAATGGCCATAATGTGATGTCGAATAGTCAGAATGCCTGACATGTGCACCAGGCATGAGGAAGATTCCAATCTAGTTACATTTCATGACATAACTGCCGATGTATAGCATTGCTTAAAAAAGAATTCAAAAAGGCACTCCGCACTATGGTCCAACACGTGGGCGTATCCATCATGATGTTGCATGTGGGAGCAAAATTCCTCTAAAGAAACGAATTCCTGCATCCATAATCTTCATATAGAGCAAAACTGTAGCTTCAGAAAGTAGGAAATACTATGGCCTATGTGCAAACCGTCTGTGATCCTTAAGACAGTGCCTTAACGTAAGTGTAGATACTCACTGCATGTTCACTCATTACTTGTAGATACTCATGCCATGCACTGTATTTCATGTGCTAAGTTATGTGATATAGCTGTCCTGATCATTTGCACGAGATATCTATCCTATTGGGCACTGATGCATGGAGGTTGTTGTGAACCTGCATGTTGCTCCGTCTATCGTACATGGACCTATCAGTAACATATTCACACAACAGTAATCAGATTTCTACGGATTTGAACAGCATTTTGGTTATACGGAAGTTTCATCAGCACATCTTTTCTTGTATACTGATTCTACTTTGTGTTGCAGGCTGCATAATGAATCTTAACTGTTATTTTTCACAGCCTTAGGAAAATAGAATTTTATGCATTTTGTGTATGTTGAGGTGTTCCAAGAAGTTAAAACCAGCCTTAGTGCAGTTGTATTTCTTCTTTCAACTGTCAGATGACCCTGTGATCATTATGAAACATATTTTATTAACATTTTGAATAATTACGTGTAAAGGTCCTATAGTATAACTTGAAATTGTTGCTGCTCCCTTTATATGGGCTTACCTTTCAGTAGTTTGATATAGCTACATTTGAATATTTTGGCACACTTTCAGCGTTCATGGCCCTAATGAAACATCAGTTTTCCAATTTTGATCTACTAGCTTTTATATTTATATTTTTTTACATATAGCTTTTGTTGCCAAAGATATCTAATCATTGATATGATCCCATTCATACACATATTCCAAAAAAGATCGTCTTTTCTTTGAAGCCACTGTAAATATGATTTTATTTTATAAAGAAAATAAAATATAAAAATATAAATATTTTAATATAAATATAAATATTTTATAAAGTTTATTTTTATATATATATTAGTATCTGATTCCAAAAATACGAATTCTCTTGATGTTGATGAAATGAATATGCCTGAAGGATGCAGATATGTTGACAATCGGCCCTCTCCTGAACCTGTTCCTCAATCTTCTGTCACTGAAGGTACATTGAATGGTAAGTTGCCTGATATTTCATAATTTCAGTCGAAATAATGGGAATTTTAAATTGCCTTTTAGCGTTAATTTAAGAGAAAGCTTTTAAATTAGTATTGTCGTGTATATTATTTGCGTATTAAAATCCCTTTATCTACTTAATGAAATTTAAAAAGAAAATCATAGAATTCGGAAGGTATTTTTCTTTGTTGTGTTTAATTGATTAAGGCAAAGCAAGTGAGAACTGTATAGCAAGTAAGTATCTGCCTAAATGGAGCAGTGATTTGTTTTGATTTAATCATGGCGAAGCACTCGAGGACTGTTTTTGTGGGAAGAAAAATGTTGATGTTGCACATCGAGAAAAACCACGACACCTCATGCAACGATGCAACCAGACAGTTCATTGAGATCCAAATTTGAATCAGCCCACCAGCGGCCGAGCGGTAAAGTCGCTGAACACTGGTAGCTCAGTCCGAGGTTCGAATCCCGCGAACGGGCTGGCTGCATGGGTGTTTTCGTGGTTTTCCCCATGTGTAACGTGTATGCGAGCCAGTTCCCTGAGAAAGTCCTCCACGAAGGCATCCCTTCCCTTAGGCAGATAGCCCTAGTGAGCTTTGCCATAATTAAATACACACATTCCAAATTTGAATCAAACGATTCTGTGTCAGCTGTATTATTTACTCGGCCATTAGTGTGTCTTTGTTAGTTATGAATAGATATTAATTGTATTGTATAAAGCATCTCACTGTTTAATAATTAAGATTTGAAAGTCAAATGTAAAAGTAGACAGGAAACAGTCAGCTTTCATAGTGGTCTTAGTTCAAACATTATACTGCTCAAGCAGTAATGCTATTTTTTGTGAATGAGAATTTTTAACCGATTATCTGAGTGACATGGTAAATTCTGAGCGGTGTTGCCATTCAGCATAGTGCTTTAAAGATATAAAACAATATTTGGTTTTATTGTTATATCTTTATTTATTTATTTTTTATTTCTCTAATCTATGTAATTCTCAGTACATCTAATCTTGCTGTTTATACCTCACCTATGATTGTGAATTTACACGAATCTTTCATGTGATTGTCGTAAATACTAATTACAGAAGATTTATTTGAGTTTTCAATAAAACATATTTGATAAATAAAATGCTCCATAACTGCAGTTTATCAACTCCTACCTTGAAATATATTATCACAAATGCCACAGCAATTATTTACATGCATGCTTAGAAATATTACTGTTTTCAGACTGAAAGGCAATAAATTTACATGCACCAAACTTTCGCTAGTGACTCCTTAGCTCTCCCACTTTATTCACAGCACACACATCAACAACTTGTTTGAATATTGATTTCATGCGCTCATGGCTAATTTTTCCTGAAATACTGCATATGCTGTTTGGATAAGAGCCTTCAGGTGATTATTTTTGCATATCTTTTTTGAGACTTAACGCAGATCTCCATCGGGATTGAGATCAGTTGAGTTTGAGATACAGCCTCTAACTTTTGGCAAAACCAGATAGTAGCAGAGAGTGCAACATGTGACTTGGCAAGACCTTATTGGAATTGCAAATCTCTCTGTGGTCTCTCTGTGGACAGTATTAGGCCACTGGAAGTGAAAATTGCTATTTCAGAATACCTGATATGATATCGCTGTGTCTAGTGTGAAAGAAGAAAGTAAACAACCCATACTTGTACAGTAGCTACATGCCTAATTTCTTGTTTCAAATAGGTTCAAGTAACTGTTTCATTCAATGGATGGATGGCTCTGCGTTTGATTTTCTATATAGAACTAGAAAAGATGACTCGTCTGACCAAATGGAACCTGGCTAAGGACCAAGCAAACTGACTCTGGAATTAGCTCCCTTGATCTATGCAAAATGCCTCTTTCACTGAAATGATGTAAACATATGTTTTACTATAACATTTTACTATAATAAACATATGTAAACATATGTTATTATATATTTCATTTCAAGTCATCTGTTACTAGCGGTATGTCGAGATGTTAGCTGCTATCTGCGTCACTTAACACTTCTACGGTTTTCACAAAAGTAAGCCATCAATTCTGTGGAAAATCTTACTTATTCTCGGCATCCTGGTATTGGTCTTGGATTAAAAAATTATAAAGTAATAAACAGAAGAGTAAAAATGGTAGCGTCATTCATTTTTTAAAAAAATGCCTGAATAATATTTTTTAATTAATTCTTTTTTTTTCCTTCCAAATTATATTCGTGTTTGTGAGAATTGCAAGACCATGAAGAAATCATACAGATAAACTAAAAGCCGCTTGCGTAGACTTAGCAGCTCCCTCTTAACTCCCGGTTCCTCTATATGTCGTTCCTACCAGCTGCCGAGCGGTAAAGTCGCTGAGCAGTGGTAGTTTAATCCGGGGGGCTCGAATCCCGGCAAACGGGCTGGCTGCAAGGGCGTTTTCGCACTTTTCCCTATATGTAACGTGTGTATGAACCAGTTTTCTTTAGAAAGTCCTCCATGAAGGCATCACTCCCTTAAGCAGATAGTACTTGTGTGCTTTTCCATTATTGAATAAACCAATTAACCAAAATCCTATATATCGTAATTACCCTGTGTATAGCATGCATGTTCTGGCTCAGTGATTGTCACTGTGGATTTCTGATGACTACGATTCCTTAACTGTAATCCCATACTAATAAGGAAATGACGGGATGGAAAGGGCCCATTGTTAACGCCAGTAGAACTTCTGATTGGTTGGATCCAGTAGAGTCTTGATATGATATTCTCTGTATGGGAAACAAAAATGTAAATTAAACACACACACAATGTTGTTAAAAGAAAATGTTGAAGTGGCTTATATGAATCCAGAATTATACTATGAAAAGGTAATAAATGAAGAGGGACGATTATCATGTGGTCGCCAGCAGACTAATTGGTTGGGACATTTGTAATTTGTAGGTCAAGATAATCTGCTTCGGTGTCATCTTTGTTAGTTTTATTAAGTTTATGGCATTTAGGATAGGATATCTTGTTTTTCAATTTCATTGTAAATATTAATGGCAATGATGTTGTACAGACTTTTTTTAATGAAAACAGGAGAGAGGAAAAATGAGCGACGCCTTCGCCGGGATTTGAACCTCGGACCTCTCGAATACGCGTCGAGTATGCTTCCAATTACACCACGAAAGCATGCTAAGAAGGTGGAAGAAATACCTTATAATGTCATCAATGTACCTGTAGGTAAATTTAAAAAGTTATATTTAATGGTAATTGTTATTAAAATTATATTCCTTAAGTAAGAGGAACAGGTTACAGAACATGTATGACTCCTTATGCGGTGATATTTATTATTTTGCTGTAGACTGTGCAAGTAATAACTTTAGGAAGCCAGTGAATTATCCTTCAGGTTTGCTAGAAGCCAAAGTAGCTCTGTTTTTCTAGTTGTTCTTTTAATTTAAGAAAGTATGTTTGGTATAAAAATTTCAGAAAAGACTAAAAGTTACATAGTCTTTTTTCTCCTTTTCGAAAATATAAATATAATTATCAAAAAAAAAAAAAAAAAAAAAAAAAGATATGTTTTATGTTACTTAATCATATAGACCAGAACGTTAATTACGTTTCTAATTGTAAGTTCTTCCTAATTAAATTTCTTTATTTTTTTGCAGCTAATTTTGAAAGCACAGAATATGAAACACAAGAAAGAGAATATGCCGCTAAATCGTTTGATGACTTGGAGGATGACGAAATTATCATTTGAAATTGTTCCCTGAAAGTATACTTTTAGTAAGCTCAGAATATCAGAGGCAAGAAAATAAAATGTTTGCTAAGCATTTTGATGAATAAAAGGCTAAAAAAACACTGAAAATTCTAGTCAAAATTCGCATAAGTGCTTTAGTAAACATCTTAGTTTGTGTCTGTTTATTATTAGCCCAAAGGAGCGTTAGCTTAGAAGGTCTAATTAGTCTCAAAACGGGATTATGCGTTGAATCACTATAAGTGGCTAAATCACTTTTCAGATTGTTGCCACCAAATATTATCACTGTGTATTATATTTAAATAAATTAAATAATGAAGAATCTACATGAATGTATGTATGTTTCTCGCATTGTGAAAAACGACTATACGTAGACCCATGAAATTTCGAATAACGTAATCCTTCACCCGAACATGGGCAGGCACCTGGAAGCCCGAATTTTGAATTTCGAATATGTTTTATTATCTATTTCATATTTTGTAAAACTTTTAACGATTTTTTTTTAATAACGATTTCAACGTTTTCAAAGCTAGCATGGCGAAGAACATGATATTTAATACATGAAGGTAACACACAAAACGTTGAAAAAACGCTCCTTTGGCTGCAATATAAAATCTGAAAGTTTTCAGATTTTTTAAAATTTTTAAATCAATAAATTATATATTTAATCTAATAACTTATTATTAAATATTCAAATCAATAGATTATTTATTTAAATTACCTTTCTGTAAATTAACGTTTTCTGGAAAAAAAAGAACAGTTAACTTAATGTGTCAAAAAAAAGGATTTTTCATTCTCTCAAAATATGATTATCATGAAATTTTAAAATAAATTTACTCTAAATAAATATTGATTAAGCATGTCCAGTGTAAATTTCAAATCCAAATTGCTATTTTTAACTCAATATTTAACTAACACGAATAAAAGAATTTTGAAATCTCGAATTATCTCGTGAAAGAAATGTAATTTTTGTTCCCGTAACTGGAATCCAATCCGAGAGGACCTGAAATTAAAAAGAAATCTTAGTAAATGTCCTATCTCATTTGGAACTAATAGCTCTCGTTAAAGATACATTTTGTCATCACTTTCATAATATAATATCTTACGAAATTACGAAAACCTTTATCCGGAACAACGACGACTGCAAGCACGTAATCCCGAAGGATATTATTGTACCTCAACAAATAGAGCTGTTCAGAACTAGTGTAATACTGCAAGAATGTATACGATGTAAAGGCTAACATTTTACCATTTTTATCGTGTCTTTTTCTAAAATAAAACGAAAGTTTTAGTCACAGCGTAAACTTGAATAGTATACTCTACTGATACAAGATCATCTAAGCTAACAGTACTAAACACCTCGGTACTAAACAGTTCCGAATTCATGAAAAATAATGATACACAATGTTTCTTCTATTTATGCAATAAGAATTGTGCAATAAAATTTATTATGCTGTATATTTGTGCAATAAAAGTGTATGTTGTAATTGTACTGTCTTGTTTTCCCTATTTCATATTCAGGATGTTTTTCTGTCTTACTCTGTACTATTGAACAAAATTGGATTGTAGAGCTTGTACGACAAGAATGCATTTTCAATCGTTGCCTTCTGAAGAGGAAATAAAACTGTTGACCTACCTTTTTATAAGAAAGGAAATTTTTAAAATTCTCCGATCTTTCGGAAGGATTAGCTTTTTCAAAATATGTGCATACGTAGCACTAGCATTCTGGAGAGTTCTTTTATTAATTTATGCCTAGTATATCGGCGACCAACTTTACAACCTGGTTACAGAGGGAAACAAACTATCTTCTCCAGCCTATGAAAATCCAATCGGGCTACAAGATCTTTATAATTGTATTTCTATGTGTAAATCATTGGCTTCTTTTTTATATGCCATTTCTTGAATTGGCTGCCCATATGCGCTGCGTTATTATCCGTATGGAGTTGGCTCTAAAAGGGATTATTACTTGTGAAATACTAGTAATAGCAGAAATCACGATAACTCCATGCAGTTAGTTTATTCAGTTGCTGGTGACAAAAACAGATCGGTGTCCTTTAAGTTTAATTCCCGCGTGTTCATGGGGATCTTTTAATTTTCCTTCTTCTGATTTTCCTAAATGTATAAAATGTTGCTTCTAGACATACAAGTGACATACTAGACATACTTTATACAATAATTCTTCTTTCTGAATTTCTGCTTAAATTTCTATGAGCTCTTAATTTTTTTTAATTTCAATATATTAATAAAATAAATGTGTATTTTACTATTCCGTATTTTACGACGTATAATGCGCTTATATAATTTCAAACTACATTTATTAATTTTTAGGTATATTCGCCGCATAACGCGCACACTTTTCTTTACGAAGAAACCTGAAAGATAAATGTGCGATGCTCTTCTTTCGAAATAATTCACTCAAAGATTTTTCCCAGGCTTTTCAACAATGGTATACTGAATTGACAAGCGAAGAGGGGAACAATACGTGTGGGGAGAATGCTTAAAGCAGTAAATATTAATTCTGCAAAGAGGGTGCTTTGTATTCAATGCAGATGTGCACAAGAATGTTATTCTAGTGTTTCGAGAACACTAAAATAACATTCTTGTGCACAGCTGCCCTTTCGAGAAAAGGGCGAAATAATTTGGGATTGGAATGCACTTCCGACCCGAATGAATTCGCAGAATCGGGAGTCCGATGTTTTCTATTTCTGTAGTCATTTGAAGCCGTAATTTTGAAGTAAACATAGAAGGCTTTAATAAATCGTATTCGCCTCATTTGAAATACAGTTGATCTAGTGTTCCTTTTAGTAGTAAATCTAGATCCTCACAAACGAAACAACGTACTGCTAGTTTCAAATGCAAAATCATTTAATTTACGAAAGAAACTGGAAATCGTGTTACAGCAAGGCTGTTCGGTGTTGGAGAAAAATGGAACGGATGATGATTATTTATAGCTCAAAGTAGCAACGATGGTGAAGATGAAACAAGAGTTCGATGATGTGCCTGAAGGTATAACGGAAGACGAACATGACAAACATTTCATGTTATCCGATAAGGACAAATTTTAAGTTTATAAGATATGTCATTTCTTTTAAATTGTCTTTTTTTTTTTTTTTTTTTTTTTTTTCCTTCTTTATTTTTAATTCTATCATTTTTATATCCGGCGTATAACGCGTGCCCGTAAATTTCGATTTTATATTTTGTGTTGAAAGTACGCGTTATACACCGGAATATATGGTACATTTAAGGGGAAGATCGTTAAATAAGTCTTGAGCCTAACATGGATATACAAGATAAATGTGTAAAATATTTTTCTCATCTTGCTAGATCGTTTCTCTTGTGTTTAATGCACTTAGCACAGCGATTTGATTTCTAAACGCATCATTCAAACCATCGCTATCACTGTAATATAAAATGAACAGTTTGGGAAATTCTAGTATTGTGCGCTAAAATATTATCTCGGCTAAAGCTTAAGAGGCTGCATAAATCGTAGACGTTGTTTACTTATTTTTTATAGGCTTGGACACACCTTTCTCTAGAAGCAAATTACAGTTGTGCTTAAACTAACTTAATATGGAATGTTCATATGTTATTGCTTACAGTGTATAACTTCATAGTTGAAGGAAATTTTTATCATTTGGAATGAAAGGGTAAAAAAAAAGGCATGATTAAGTAGTCTATGGAGAAAATTTTGATTTCCAGGTCGTATAAATGTCCAGTTTGGGAACTGACTATGAAATGAGTTGAGCGAAAAAAAAGGTATAAATGATTTTGAGCAGATGTGTAGAATTACACGAGACGAATGTAAGCATCGAATTATATGGTCTGTTCGAAAGAAATCTTGGTTCACGAAGAGTAAATTCAGAATTATGTAGTATTTTGCGACTTACGTATATGTGTAGGGCAAGTGCCGAAGTGATTTTATGCGATCTGAATTAGGAATTGTGACGGACTGGAATAATTTTTAGGGAAGTGTGCATAGAATTCTGCTTGAAAGAGTATTTAATTAAAAAAAATATTTCTCTTCTTCTGCAATCGTCATTAATTATGTCAAAAGCAGAAATATCAGATTTCCCTTCCACTTAAAATTTTTTAACGTTTACACTTATGCAAGAATTTTCTTTTAAAACCTGAGCCAATATGTTCTTATTTAACCTCGTCCGAACCCATTTATTTACCTTTAGACACTGAAAGCACAACATAGGCTTAATATGTACTCTGAAATGCAAACCCTTCAGTCCAAGAATTTCATAATCCTTTTAAAATCTTTTGCATTAAAAGATGTAATTCTGTTATTGTCATTTCTCCCCATTAATGGAATATAAAATACATAAAGCTTTTGAATCATTTAATATTTTACATTTTATGTTTCTTATAGTTTCTTTAATATCATTTTTCTCAGCTCTGGCTGAACATTAAAAATAATACTTTAATTTTATCCATTTGGGATATGAATGTTCAAATAGTTTAGCTTTACGTTCTTAATGCTAGTTTCTTATATAGAAAAAACAATTCTCTTTTATTGGTCTCAAAAAGCATATTATTTTTATACATTTAAAATTTCTTGTTCGGCTTTTAAAATACGCTGCTTAATAAGATCATGGTTAATGTTAGCATTCGAATAATATTAAGAAATTTCTGAAGTACCGTTCTTTTGTTGGAAAAAAAAATCGCTTACTGTGATCAATAATTCGATTAATGTTATCAGAATATTATAAAATGAGTTTTTCAAACTGAAGTAAATTCGCCAAATAAAAATAGATTAAAACTGACGGCATTTAATATGATCGGGGTTAATGTTATCATCCGGATATTGTTACCGGACTATAGAAGTCCCACCCGTTTGTATAAAAGAACATGGAAAATATATAGTTTATTGTGATTAAAAAATCTGTTACTGTTACCAAAGTATTATAGAAATTTTTTTTAACTGAGGCAGAGTCGCTAAATAAGCTCAAAGTGAAATGCCAAATGTTGTCAAGTAAGAGCCAAACGCCAAGCGGCCAGTCACCAAACACTTGTTTTTGATTTCAGTCAATCATTTACAACTAAGCAAAAAAGCAACCATAGCTTGGCATATATTTTTAAATAACTCTGTCGATTTTGAGGGTGATTAGAAACAGGTCCCTCTTCTTCAAAAGCAAAAAAAAAAAAAAAAAAAAAAAAAAAAAAAAAAAAATGCTTCTGAAGAAAAAATCCCGTGAAAACATCTACACCGTATTCGGATTTCGTAATTTTAAATTTGCATGTTCTTTTCATTTGCATTCATGTTTTGGAGGGATGCCGTCCAAAT